TGATCTTTACTTGACCAACCTGTTTCATTGAGTGCATTTTGTTGTCCAAGGGGATCAGTAAGAGGAGTTAAGCGTGTACAGTGATTACCCTTATTTACATACTGTAGATGATTTAAAAAAAACACTAGAAATCTGCCTGTTTTTCCCCTGAAAACAAGATGAAGTGTAAATATTAGCTTAATGCTTTTATCTGAAGACAAACTCCTGAACTGAAATGGTTTTCGGTCTTCCTGACCAACAAACCGTATTTTAATATGTTTTGTTTTGTTTTGTTTGTTTGTTTCTTCTTTGGCATATTTTTTTAAGGTACTTCTGTTTGGTCTTGCCGTTAACCGACCATCTTTGGTACTTGTGTATAATGATGTACATTTAACATATTTATAATGCAGTATGTAAATATATTTTCTTGTTTTTGTTTTGTTTTTTGCTCATTTTCCTATTGTAATTCCTTTACATTCAGAACGTGAATCAAAAGCTAAAGAATAACTTGTTGTATGCTTGGATGCTTGGCTGACAGTTGACCTATTAATAAACACTCAAATAAAAACGATGTAGCCTTCCCTGGATTTAGGGAAATCAACGCATTTGTCTTGTGTATGTGTGTGTGTGTGTGTGTGTGTGTCGCTCACTCATTATCCATCACACTCCTGTCTCTCCCATCTCTTGTCTTGCTGTGCCTTAACGGTGAAGGTGAGGCTTTCTTTCAAATTAGAAGTCGCGTTTCCTCTTTTGCGTGTCCCTTCATCAAACTTCGTGTCCGAAACAACTCAGCCAGGCCTGCCTCGAGGTAAGTGAACCACCCTCTTCACTTCCTGCTCGAGGGACCCCCAACAGTTGCTGAAAGAGGATTAAGATAAAGAGCTGGGCTTAGTGTCAGGCAGCACAACACTGTGGGGAAAACTGAAAGATCTGTGTTCAGAGGAGTCAAGCCCTCACTAATCCACTTCTTATTTCCTGCTAATCTTGTCTCAGCATATCTTCATCCCCTTCCTCTTTCTGTTGGCCAGCATTGTTTGCTCTTTATCACCTGGTTTCTCTTTAGTTTCTCCTCTTCCTCCCTCTGCGCTGCCTTGAAATGGAGACTGACTCCCCCATGTCACGCTTTAAAGCTCTTAAAAACAAATTTTCTCAACCAACTTCCTTATTAGTAATTGGGTAGTATTGTCTTTGCTTACTTCACCTTGCGGATTAGTGACCTTCCTCTGGAGTCTCCTCAGAGGGAGGAAATTAATAGGGCTAATTTAGAATAACATTATCACCAGCTATCCTTTAGCAGCATTAGATGGGAGGTGTTCGGTTGCTGTCATGAAAAATCAAATCCATCTCACATTCCTTTGAACTTATTTTCGTTTATACTCCTTCTCTTTTTGGCCTCTATGCACTAATCATGAGATATATATCTAACAATTCCTCCTGTTTGGCTTTTGATAGCAATGAGCAACTATTTGGAGGAAAAGTTCAGCTTACAAAGAGCTGAGAGTTAACTCAGATTAAGGTAGCAGGCCATGAAACCCAGGGAATGTAAAAAAATGATATCAAATGAACCTTTAAAGGTAGTCTGTGGGACTATTGCAAGATCAGGTAACACTCTTGTGTTTTGTTTAATAATAATAATTGTAGATTTAAAATTTATAAACCTTCAAGGTCTTTAATGTCAAAATTTAAAGGGTTTACTCGCACATATCTAAACTAGTGCTTGTCTGTTCTTACCTAGGGAGAAAAAAAAAGGTCTTGTAATTTATTACCATGCCTCGTGTCTTGGCAGACCCCGGCCACTTGTGTTTGTTGTGGTGAGACTGGAGCGCTTGTTTGCACCGCCGTGTGTTTTGATATTTCATCAGGGCTTGCTAAACAGTGAGGAGGGCTCTCTGCCGCCCACCTCTTCTCAGACAAATTGCCTCCGAGATTGCAGAGGTGGGTCTGAGGCTGATGGATGGGCACACAAAGACCTGACGAGACCATATTTGCAAACATTAAATCCATACTTCCCTTATGCAGAAGCTGCTTGGCCGCAGGTCACCGGCAGTGAGTGATGCACCCAGTCCTGATATGAATGCTGCATCAAGGTGGCACTGAACAAATGTTTATCTTACATGTTCCTTGCTGCCTGTCCTGATGTGGATGTGTTCTGTTGCTCCCTGTTTTTCCTCCTCTTTTCAATCTTGCAGTCTCTTTAACCAGTAATTATATCCTCTCTTGCCCTGACCCTCTCTCCTCTCCTGAATCCCCCACAGACTTAAACATCCATTATCAATTCCAGCTCCATCATGTCTGAGCAGTACATCCATGTTGCACCCTGCCCTTCCTGACTGCCCCACGTCTCCATACTCATTTCCCCATCCTCTCAGTGATTGACCTCTCTTTCCCTACTTGCTGCCCAACCTGGCTGCTTCATACCCACCATGCCATCTTCCTCTTCACCCTCCTCTCACTCCTTTGTCTTATATAAACGCTCTGTTCCCATCACTCTCTCCCTTTCCCTCCTTCTTCCCTTACTTTTTCTCCCCTTCCCCGTTGGCTTTTGCCTGCATTTTGCTGTTAATTTGCCTGAGAATGCATTAGCTGTAATGAAGGCTGAGGGCCGAGGGAATCCTCCAGGGTTCCATTAATCATCCCCCCTCAGACAGGCAACCTTGATTACAAGTGGCAAGAAATTCATTAGAGCCGGGCCTCTGACAACTCTTATCTCCGCCACTAGATCTGACTCATTAGGCAGCCAAATTAAAGCTATGATGGCCCTGATGAAACTCATCGCTTGTTTATCTTGTGCGATTTGATGCATCTGCCCATACATCACTGTAGCCACGACCGTCCGGACCCTCCCAAGAAGTCAGGCCTCCAGTCGGCGCTGAGCAGCCTGCACACTCACACAACCAAGCCAGTAATGAGCTCCCTCGCTTTCCTCCCTCCCTTTCTCTCTCTCTCTCTCTCTGCAGGTGGGAATGAGGGAATAGTTACACGTCTTTGCTGGAAAGAACTTCTGATATTTCAATTTGTGATTCAAGTAGCACAATGGCAGAATATGGAGTCTCGAGATTGAAGTGTTTACTGAATGTGCGGCTTAAAAAGAACAGACTGTTAGAAACTTTGAATGGATTAACACAGTAACCCGAGAAACTCAAGTCTGCTACACATTACTCTCCTCCAGAAAGCTTCTGCACGTTAATAATTCATTAATAATAACAGCAATATTATTTCTTTCCACACTAACAGCTCTAAACCTGCAGGATCTCAGTGATAACAGCCAGTGCCTATCATGAGTTTTGTCATGGCTCCTCATCGTCAGTCCCTCCATGCAGCGCATGCATGGGGTCTGAAATAGCTGTGGCACTCTGGCACAGTGACGTGGAAATAACCAACTATGTTAGTCAGCTCTTGGACCATAATCAAACTTCCACTGCACCTTCACACGATCATCACTCCTTGAATCCCCATGTGAGTGTCACAATCTTAATGCATGAGGTGGACGGTGAAATAAAGTTTACTACTCATGGGTGCCCGGGTCATGAAGTGTCTGTTTATGCTCTGAGGTCAAGCCTGTATTCAACAGAGGCGTGAGGAAAATTAAATGTAAAGATTATTATAGATGTCTGTTGCTATTTGAGATTAGTTTTTTTTTTAAAAACCCAAACCCACCTTATTGTGGCAAAAGTTTAATTTCATGAAATATTAATTATCTGAGGAATCCTGCCCCATTATCATATTTCAAATGATAAATAAATAAACGTGATCTGACGTCTACTGAATCTTTCTGGAATCACGAAGACCATCTGATATAAAGTTAAAAAAAAAATCCAACATAAGGTTTTGTGCAAGCAGCTCAGAGACAGCGTGTAAACCGAGGACCGTGATGAAAGTTTTCACAAAAACACCAAGCCTTCCTCCTGTAATAGGGTAGCTGTTTCTGGTTAGAGATTATGTTAGTACTGCTGGCATGTAGAGTACAATTTCCGATTTGATTTCATTTAGCACCGCTTTTATTCGCTCAGGTCTGTTTCTGTAAGTACAAGACGAGTAACTGCATTTACTAGCTACAGGTCTGTGTATGTATCCTGAAGAAAATCCGCGTTTTAGGAGCAACATAGCTTCTTACAATCATAACATTCATTAGAAATCAAACTTATAAATATCGTCTACTTCGGCCATTGAAACAAAAGATGAAATACTTCATATTTTAGTAAATCTCGAAAGATGTCGACATTTCTGAGGGATATTAGTTGTATTAAAATGATGCATAAAGTATCTCGTATCTATTAGGTGACACAGCACCAATAAATTATGCCTTCAAAGCGGACTTTAATGCGTCCTATTAAATGACTTCTTGTTCATATTTAGTTCTTTTTGGATCGATTTACAAAAAAGCATTTTTAGCGCCACGAGATTAAAGAGCTGATGTCTGTTTGTGTCGGTGCAGTGACTGATAGAGAAGTTCATTACAGAGTGTTGAATGTGCTCAGCCTAATGAGGATCCATCAGTTCAGTTGAGACAACATGGCCTCCTAAAGAGAAATCAATCACTGCTGCTGCTACCTTAAAAAAGACTGTTCCACGTCTCAGGTCCTTGATGTATCTAAAATAAAATAAAAATAAAATAAAATAAATAATTAATAGATTCTAAAAGAATTTGCAACTTCAGGAAATTAAGACTAACAGATGTGCAGCAGAAGCTATGAAATTACACAAAAACAGACATTAATGTGCTTCTAACGCCTCACTGAAACTCTCTAAAAAATGCTTTAAAAAGGTCTTCTAAGTCCAAAAAAAATGAACAGAAATATTTTTTATGATAAAATTTCAACGTTTCATCAGGATATATTTTTAGTCAAAACAGCCGCCTGACCGTAGTTTTTTTTTTTTTTTAATGAACTTGTTCAATAATCTTTCGTGATGTTTAAACAGTAAAGGCCACCTTTGTTTTCATTTTAGCGTAATCAAATGATTTCAACAGCTGTTGCTCTACATTTTAATAACAATGATTCAACCTGGATTCCAGCTTTCGTATAAAGCGATTTATTAGGTCAATATACTTTACAGTTGTCTCTTGTTTGGTCGTTAATTCCTTCACATTTTTTTTGTTCTTCCACAAATAGCTTTAAAAGGTGGTTTCTACACTTGCCAAACAAAAAACGCCTTAAGTTACATGCAAATGTCTCCAACAAATTGTACGAAACACAAAACAAACAAACAAAAAAAATAAATCCAGAATAGCTTCATCAAATGAGGACATGCACATAACCAACAAAACAGTTTGGCCCTACATATAAATACTTAAAAAAATCTTTACAGTCGCATCTCATAGTGCTCATTTGTACCAGTTTTTACCCATTTATATTTACATATTAACAGAAACAATAAATAAAAATGAGAGCATATTGCCAAATAATTGGTCTGTCTGTGAGTAAATCCTCTTCTCCCTCAGACAAAATAATTGGAACATCCTTTTTGTGCTTCATGCGTTCAACAAATCAGTGGAACCTAGAGTCAAGTGTTTCTAATAATATTCTTTTTTTTTTTGATTTTCATCTCAGTTCATGGCCTGGTCCCTTGCTCTATTTGTTGATGCTGACTCCTCACAGCGAACCTGTTGACGTGCACCGGGATGGGGACCACAATTTTGGGATTTCTCACCGGTTCTCCCGACCGGTTGTTGACGTTGCCCGCTTTGATCCGTTTCCACTTGGCCCTACGGTTCTGAAACCAGATCTTCACCTGCACCTCGCTCAGTTTGAGTGCGTGTGCGATCTGGGAGCGTTCAGTCAGAGAAAGGTATTTTTTACAGTGAAACTCCTTTTCGAGTTCGAGTAGCTGCTCGCTGGTAAAAGCTGTTCGTCTCCTCCGGCTCTTCCCTGCTGAGCTGCCGGTCGGTAGCGCCTCCTGCGAGCCCGTTTTTAGTTTGCTCTTCTGGGACAGGGCGCCGCAGTTGTTGCCGTCCGAGAAACTTTCGTTCTCGCTGTCCGCGGAGCTGTCCTCTCGGTCGCTGCAAACTGTGTCTGCTGATTTTAGGTCCAGCTTCTCGTCGTCTGAACTGTAGAGTTTGGTCTCGCCTAAAATGCGAAGATAAACAAAGAACACACGCAAACATACGCATTTAGTGATTTTATAGTTTATGATCCCGCAAATCAGCGGTGACAGCTGCAGATGTCTCACAATGTTGGACGACACTTGGTGTGTTTTGGGGAAAAAAGGCTGGCAGAGATCATGTGAAAGAACTTTTTTCAGAAAAAAATTTCAGAAAAAAATCAGATCAGTCATGCTGAATCATCAGCGGTTTGTTTGTGGTCACTCAGTTGTTCCATAAGTTTCCACCGCAACTGAGAAACTTAGAAAATGCTGCATCCACATATAGACTGGAGTTCTTGGCATTTAGCTCTGTTTTATGCTTTAATAAAGACTGGTTCAGAAATCATTCCAAATACGGCCTTTTAAAATAGCAAACGTGCCTGAAACGGCAGTTCCCTCATAAAGCTTCGCTTTATGCTGCATACTCGGAATTTAGTAAAATGCATTTTAATCAAGAGCTCTAAATGTGAAAAGATGAGATTAACTAGAACTATACACTATACCTGCTAATTCATCTTCACCCAAGAGGCCACTAATCTCCGCTTTATCGCATTTTACGCACAGTGGTCACTTTTACGCGGCAGCCCCCGAGGCTTAAATATAATGAAAGAGAATGACTTGTAGAAGTGGTTGAGCCTACCTGATATTGTCTGAAAAGTTTCCGAGAAGTTGAGCATCTCAGAGCTCTTGTCCCGGCTGTGCAGCTCCTCGGAGTGTGGGCTTTCTTGCCTTCTCGCTCCCGGGTCGGCAGCGCTTAAACGTGGACCAGGCAGCTCTTGTGGTGGATAGAAACTGTCCGGGGGATCCGAGAAACTTGGCATCGTTGTTGTGAGCGCAACCATGGACGGCACCCCCTGTCCCAAACTGGCACAGAACGTGTTGGTGAGTCGTCCCGCAAAAGAAGCCAATGGCGCGAGTGGAGGTATACCAGACGATAAAGGAGAATGGGATAAAGCTTGTGGGATAACCAAAGGTCTGTATGGCATGAACATAGGATAGCCCGTGTAGAGCAGGTGTCCCGGTCTGGGCTGAGGGGTCCCTATCAGGGAATCGATTGAAAACGCCGTCCCTTGCCCGCCTGGTCGCTGCATTTTGCAGGCAAACACTTTTGTTCGGTGAAAACTTGAAAGCAAATGTCCTTCCGTCGACGACGAGCAAAACTTTCAGTTTAAAGAGAGCGTGAATTGAAAGTAGATCCTCTGCTGTGTTGTCATCCCTGGAAGTAGACCTCTTCTTCGGATATCTGCGCTCTAAATGCTTCAGTCAGTCGGACGCTTTGTTGTGTGCACCAGCGCTACCCTTTCCCTCTTATTTGTCACACACTGAGACATAAACACACGCTCCCTCTTTCTATCTGTCCCCTCTTTCCAACTCCTCCCTTCACCCCTCTCTGATGCACAGTGTGTGTGTGCGCGAGGAAAGAGAGGGCGAGAGCGCATTGGTTATCATCTGCAATACAAGAAGAATGAAAAGGGGGTGTTTCCCTGGGGGCTCATCCATCTTCCTCAAATTACGCTTCATTTCCTTATTCAGCCTCTGACTTTTTGGCCGTCTTGAGAGGCGGTAGTTTCCCAGTGGAGACCAAATAGACGAGTCACCCCCCTCATCCACCCCTCCTCAAGCCCTCCTCCCCTTTTGCCAGGTTCACCATTGACTGCAAAACGGTGTGAGAGACTGTTCCAGCCCTTCCCCTTCTATAATCGTTGACCACACCAACCCAATCAGCTATTATTAATTTTGATTGATGATAAGTAATTACTCTGGATTCAAGGGACAGCATAAAACAACGGTGGCTTTTGTTGAAATATTGGGACCGATGGGCATCAGAGTCGGGAGGGAGGAGAGGCAGATGTTTCTCCCATTCTCCGCGGCTAAAAACAATGCGTTTGGCTTCAGAAAGAAGTAGTGCCACGACAATCGCTCCCCGGAGAGAGAGCAAGCGAGGTAGAGAGAGAGCGAGAGAGAGATGCTGCTTGCGAAATTAGATTCAGATAAAAGCCGTTTGTAAGGTCAACTTCAGTGTGGACACAGACTCACAGTGGCTAAAGTTACTACCGGTAATCCCCAAATCTAAATCTATAAATCTATAAACTTTAATCTCTTTTGCTGGCCATATGCCAATTAAAACAACGTGTGCTTTTTTCTTTCTTTCTTTTTTTAGAAACTAAATAAAGCACTAATTTTACTGTGCGCTTTTGGAAAAGTAATTTGTCCCTGATCAAAGTCGCATAGGGTGGGAAGAAAAAAAATCTCTTTTCTTAAGCACTGGTTTAATCGCAGATCATCTCACCTTTTAAATGGCAATGGGAACTGATGATGATTAGCCCTATTGAGTCCTGGGTGCCCGGGCTCTCCAACTGGTCGTCTGATTGCATGAGGACATAAACATATCACCACCGACTCTGATTAGCAGTGGAGGGCCAGGGCAGGCTAATTCTTATAATTGCAAGTGACTTCAGCAGCACCTCGCTTTGATCTACTGAAACCATTTGCCGAGCTCGTCTTCCTTTCTTTTTCGGGTTATTCTGAGTTTACGTTGCTGCTCTTTGCGCGCTTTGTGAACGAAATTCTGATTGCCTGTTTCATTTCTTAAAGACCAATTAAAACTGTGTTAAAATAGGGCCTGTGTTCTCAACCTCTTTATGACTAAAAACAAAGTTTTATACGGCAGGGATATAAAAATGATACCGAACCTCTATCTGCTGTCTGTAAATTCACATTAAAGCTGTTTTCCCCCCGTGTAATAATTCTAAAAAGGTCCAGATCGTCTCCATCTAAACTTTTCCACCCAGTAAGTAATGGAACAGAAGAAGCGCTCTTTTTTTCGCCTGTGTTGTTCTAACCTCAAAAACCAAATCTAAAAATAATTTCACAACACACATTCAAATATCTCTAAAAGTTATTCAACATATTTCTGCTTAATTTGATTTCAATTTTAAATTTTTGAGGGCATACTGGATTGGATACCGGTGCTTCCTAAAATATTTTTGTGTTATAAATGAGTAATTTCCAGAAAAACGCGGCAATGACAAAACAGCCAGTAAACACACACAGAGAAAAATGACTACAAGCAAAAACATGACAGAAAAATATAAAAACACGAAACATGAAAAGAACAATGACCAGATCATGCAGCAGTAGTGGAAAACTTTATTTTCATTTAAAGCCTGTTTTAATCATATATTCATATAATTACAGGCATCTCAAACGATTAATGCAAATATTTTGATAGCAATACTCGATGTGCAAAACATAATTACTATGCTCCCTAGCGCTGACCTATGATAATAACTATGTATACAATTTAAAGCAAGTCGTCCTTTTTAAATTAAAGTGTAAAAGTAAGAGAAAAAGAAAAGAAAAAGTGATCAAAAAAGTAAAGAAAATATAAACCAATATAGCTGCAGCCCCACTGCATAATTTAATAATTCTAGTCTGTAGCGCCCTCTTGTGGTGCAACATCAAACGTGTTTCTGCGCTGAGACATGGATCAAAACATGACAGGAAACGACTCTGCGTCTGCCTCCTGAAAATCTTATGTATGGCAGCACGCAACCTAAAAAAAAATCTGTGTATTGATTCACATTGTTGGACTTTTCTCACCATCGATATTTGGTACAAATATTCACACTCAGATTGGACTTTTAGTGAATGTATCCTCTGAAATCCAGGAGAAGATAGTTCTTGATGAACTTGGGCAGATCGAGCTTTGGGACCACTTTGTGTACCCGGCCTTCCAGGAATCTCCTGAGACTGCAGCGAGCCAAGTGTTGCAACGAGCGAGGAGTCATTTCCAGGGAGAAGACTGACTCATAAAATTCTTTGTGTTCCTTTTTTGGACAGAAACACACAAAAAATAGATTTAACTGATGAACTGATACTAGATTGATGGCTCTATATTGATGCTTTGATATTCTGAGTTTAGTTTTGCAATCAGCTTATATTAAAAAATAGCTTTCTGAATATAAAATAATGATAAATTACTTAATGTTCTTTTCATTTTTAAAAGCCCTCATATTTATAAGAAACTACAATATTTTTCTCTACCTAAGATGGGTTGAGATGGGTCACTTTAAAAGTATTAATTTAAAGACAATGAAGACTAAAACATTTAACTAAACATAATAATAATAATAATAATTAAAAAATGGTAAACCTAATTCATAATTTCACATTTAAAAAGCTTGCCTTAAACACCTCCTCTGACACGGACTCAACCCAGGTGTCCGTGACTTTGAGGTGACTGTAGGCATTCAGGAGAACCTCAACAGTGCGTGGCGATTTGGAGCAGTGCATCAAAACCTGCAAGGTGCATCACAACTCAGAGCAAAGCAGTACGATTTAAACAATCAACATTTAAGTTCACGAGCAAGCATGTGACTCCATAGAACTGAAGAAATAAAGTAATTAAACACTTGTGAAATGAACAGATTGGTCTTCCCTCCAGGGGTTTAACTGGAAATTATGCAATTAGTGCTAATTAATCTCCTATTAACACTTGCCTAATTAGGAACCAGGCATTTTGTGTAGTGCACGTGGGTTCACTGATAGTTGTAGTCTGTTTCCCGCTGAGAGTGCAACACTTCATGTTGTGCCATGAGATGGTAATGATTTGAATGTGAAGTTGTGAAGTCTGGAATATCGCAAGGAACAGTGTAGTGTTTCAAAGAAATCTTAGTCAAGGTGTTACATGTGCAGTACTTGCTAATTATGCAAAATGAGCCACCTTGATGAATAATTGGCTGTAGCCGTGATAGCATGCTTCTCCACACGTTTTATTCTGATTCCATGTAATATTCAAGCATTTAGGTCCCTACCTTCGGAAGAGCACCGGGCCACACCCGAATGGAGCCGTGGTTGAGCAGAGAGCGGACAATCCTCTCAGGACTATGGGAAATCTTGTAGGCCACCTTCAGGATGTTGTGCATTGGAGCTTCACCTCCATAGTCCATGTTGTTAACACAGGCCCCATTTTCCAGCAGCAGATCCACTATGTCTGGGTTCACATTCTTACAGGCCATGTGCAAAGGAGTGCGTTTGTCCTGTTCCTCAGTGTGGATGTTGGCCCCTGCGTTTATCAGTATCTGACACACCTTGAAATAATTACGGAGATCCTGTGCCTCCTGGGGCTGTGAGCAAGCAGAATTGATGGAGGTGAGACCCTCATAGTTCTGTTTGTCCACAGCAGCTCCATGACGCAGGTACAGCTCAGTGTGGTCTGGGAGGCCATTCCTGGCAGCCACATGGAGAGGAGTGTCATATTCATCTACAGTGCAGCCGTTGATTGCAGCTCCATACTGAAGGAGATACTTGGCACATCTGCAGACAGGATTAATAGAATCAGGTAGATCAGTTGTTCCTACACTTTAGATTTTTTTTCCCTTTCAGATTCAAAGGCATTTTAATGCATTATGCTTTTTGTCAGCTGTTTATATTACAGCAAAATTTACAACTAGGGGCAGCAGCAGTCCCAAATTTAATATATTTTACTGTCACTTGTAGCTTCACCTCCTGCTCCTGGAATATGTAACTCCTGAAGGAAGAAATGACAGAAACAACAGAATGTTTACTCTGCAATAAATACACCTTTTGCTCAGGTAAATATACTCAGGGGTTTTGTTTGCTTTTATATAACCTTGCAGCTACAAGGATACAAGTTCAAGTACTGGTGCTTAAGAGTGACTGAACTAGATGAGGAATGAAAATACCCTTACATAGTTTTACTGGATTTCACTTACTCAAGGGATTCAGGGCTTGTACAAACATGCAAAGGCAGAAGGCCGTCCTCTGAGACAGCATTGGCATTGGCACCGTGCATCAGCAAGAGTTTGGCACACTCTGGTTGGCAGTTTTCACAAGCCTCGTGCAGCGCAGTGGTGCCGCCAGGTGCTAGGTCAACATCTGCGCCGCGCTGCAGCAGGAGCCTCAGGCAGTCCGCGAAGCCTCGGCCAGCTGTGATGTGAAGCGGTGTCGTCAGCTCCTGCTCATAAGTCAGTGACCACAGTCCTGCCAACAGGGAGCAAAAGTGTCATGAAGCCAACATTGAACTCAAGCCATAAAGTATATATGTCACATATATGCTTCAGCAGATATAGTATACAGCAGGGGTGACAAAAATAAGGCCTGGGGGCCAGAATAGGTATGGCAAGGCTTCAATCCAGCCCAGGGGATGGCTTTTGGAAAACATTAGATAGGGAAAACATTTTTGGAAATTCAACTGTATTTTTATATGTTTTACAGCTTTTCCCGCTATAAACTAATAGACATAGTTAAGTAATAGATAAAGAATGAAATGACAGAGAAGTACCTGTTTTTCTTGGTTAAAACATAAAACTTTCAGTGGAACAAAAACCTTAGGTTTTT